GTTCCTGGTATTCTGGTGATTAATATAAATTGAACTATAAACTGTGTCACTTTAGTGGATGGAAGTGAAGGGTTTTAATGAAACCCCCCGGTTCGAGAAATTGAGTGTTTATCAGTAAATGGTAATACAAAGGGAGCCCAATTAATAGCTAAGTATGTAGGTTTTTAGTTGCAACCCTTGGCCTGGGAAATTGACTGTGTGATTTAACAGTAATTACAGACCAACAAAACTACGACATTACAAAACTAGTGACTATTGTCAAATTGCATTTTATCTCCTTATTTTCTTGTTTATTTTCCATTTTTTTTTATCTTTGTTTCTGATGCTTAAAACCAAGACAAGGGAGTTCAGCGGATGACAATCGCACCCGGGTGAATATAATCTGGTGTGCAGTACCTGTTGAATTCAAAACTGCATTTTGAACACTCTAAAAAAATCGGTTGTCATTATCTGAATCTCCTGGCGTCTGTCCAATGCAGGAACTTGTTCAGATCTTCGATTAGTGGGCTTTGTGATCAGAACGAGGGGAGAAACCGTCTGGAAGTAGAATCTGTCTGGAACAGAATTTAATGAGATGGCAGATTAAAGCTGCTGTAGGGAATTTACCTTTAAATAGTTTAAACTGGGTTAATTTTTCATGTATTCACAGCCTGGGAACTTTTAAATGCTTTGACACAGAATTTCACATTCATCTGTGTCTGGGTTAAACAGCAAGGTCGTATCAGAAAACAAACATATTATAACAGACCTTGGTCTCAAGTAAGACGATATTCTATCAGCCAAGAAGCTGAAGCAGAAAACAGAAAGGTTTTGGGAAATTGCTGGAAGAAAATGTGCAAACATAAATAAGTTGCTGTTTTAATTTAAAAATGGGGTTTGCACACCTTGAAATTTAGTATGAAGCTACTGAACGGTTGATTGTGTTCACCCGTCCTCTCTGGAATGTAAACATTTGCCCATGTTTTGGGACCAGCTGAGATTAGGCTAATGTTGACTCGGCGGTTCAACCTTGTGCACTTTTGAATTAGTAGAAATTAGGGGCTGAACAACTGAATTTTTTTTAAAGTCGACTGTCAAGCTATGAAAATCGAGTGGACTTTGACTAGTCGTTGATGACGCCATACACCTGAAGCGGCCGGGGGGGGGGGCTGTTCGCTGGGGTTTTTGACAATTAAAATTGCGCCCACATTTTCAAAGTTAAACACATCTCTTTTAACAGCGGTAGTTTCTGCATCCATACTGCTCCACTTCAGCTCTCTCCCCCCTCCCCATGCACAGTGCGCCTGCAGCCTCTCAGAGTTCCTGCTGGTCTAAACATTAAAATAATTATTTCATTTTCTGTTCCTCACTTCTGATTACCTTCAGTGGTGTCTGTTTGTTGCAACCACCAGGTGCAAAAACTAGCTTGTTTTTATTTGACTATTTTTCTGTCCTGTCTGTTTATTATCTTCCTGCATCTCCTCTCAATCCTAAAGAAAAACTGCTACCTGGCTTCATGTATATTCACCTTATGAGTTACCTTTGAACTGCAGTTCTAATTGATCTACCGACAGCAAAAACAGCGGAGTGCGCACTGCTCGCCGACCGCATCAGTGAGGTGAAGTTATTGGAGGACAAATCAGGTGATGCGCCCCGCTCCACAGCAGCGAAACGCATCAGGCACAAATAAAAGACAGAAAACATAAAAGGAAATGAGTCGACATGAAAGATCGCGTTAAATTTGTTTTTGAGGTGGCGACAACTAATTTGATGTTACTGTGGCCGTGCTCAGGACGCAGATGTCTGGAGCGCGTCAACGATCAGAGCTTTGCATGCGCAAGCTGGTTAAGGTTAGGATGGGGGTGAGGGGAAGGTTAAATTGCAAGAGGGAAAAGGTCACAATTTGGTTAAATGTTCGTTTTATGGTGGGTGTCAGTACCGATGCTCTGGCACAGCGCATCGCCTCCCGATGCGCAGGGGCTCGTCACCTGCTGTCTTTTCCAAGGACTGCATCTTGTCGCTCATTATCACGTGACAGCGACTAGTCGCTGAAAGGCATAAAAAGTCACTACAGAGCAGTGAAGTCGACTAGTCGACTAGTTCATACAACCCCAAGATGTAGTTTCAACCCTCAATACTGGTCAAATTTAAACCAATTAATGAAAAGATTTATTGCTGAACACAACAAATGGTAAATTTTGTACTTAACCACATTTCATTCATTGTAGGACAGGCAGTATGATGTTGCCTACATTTCATAACTTGGATTTCATAAAACATGATAAAGTTTAAAAATCTTCGTTACAAATCTAAATTTATTTATAAATAGGATTTAGCTGAGAGATGTCATTTAGCTTACTGAGTGATTTGGCTGTTTCGTAGTAAATTTAATTGTTTTTTTTATCTTTTAACGTGACTGAGTGTAATTATGCCACTTCTCAGGGCCGCATGCCCTGAAAATGAAAATCCCACTGCTTCCTTACCCAAACCCAAACAAAGGAGATTGCTGAGCCCCGCTGACCTATTCAGACAGGAGGGATCAGGCGTCCTTCTTCAAGTAAAATAATTAGCTTCCTCAAGATTCCTCTTGACCATCTGCTAACTATCTGATGATTGTGCGTCTGTTAAATACCAATAAAAAAAACTTGATTGTGAGAAGAAACAAGACAACGTTAAGCAGAGTGTGACCCCTGACAGAAGATTAAGTGACCAGTATTGAAATGTCAAATTTAGGAGTGGTGATAAATGTTTTTTATTTTTTTATTCTGACTTACCTTATCATTAGGACATAAGGGATAATGTGTGATGTCCTAGGCTTTCATGAGTACTGATTGTGCCCTCTTAAATTATCATCTATGAATGACTTGGTTCGCTCCCTCGAGCAGATTCTTAAGTACAGTCACTATATCACTACCATTAGAGATTACCCAATATCTTCACAATCTATTGTAGATGGACGGATTTTTGAGTTACCATAGGGTTTTCCTTTTTTTACATTATTTTATGACATTAGACATCTTGAGGGCCAAGACGAACACTCGAACCATGAGTCAAGCCCATTTATAACCTTGAGACCTTCCTGACAAATAATCTCCTAAAGAAATTTCCCTGTTTATGACTGAAGTTACCTAAACCTTGATTTAATGTCCATGACTTCAGTAGCATTGATTTATGATCAGAATCTAGTTCTGTACTAAATATGAAGAGTATAGAAGTTATCAATCAATCAATCAAACTTTATTAATCCCAGAGGGAAATTAGAGGACAAATTATGTACATACCTCTACCTTGTGTTAGCCAATCTATGTCGTTTCTAAATTAACTGCTTATGTAATTAATTATTGAACTCATTCTGTGTAGGTTAGTGAATATTTTCTGTTATTTTTGGTAAATCTTTATTTTGCCTCTACTTTTGAGCAGATCAGCTCCTACCTTTATATTACATTCTTAATTCAACATAGAGAAAGCAGCTGTCGCCCTTGACTTCATCATTGTTTTGTTATTGCTAGACAAGTATTATAAGATGGCCCTTGCCCTAAATGACCCTTAGATTTGATCAGTAGTATGATGACCTGACAGATGTTCCTTGATGGTCACATTGTTTTGAGAATCACCTGATTACATATGCATCTAGTAGTTTTTACGTTTGTCAGTCTTTTATTTTTGTTTATTTCTTGTTGTTTTGTGAACATAAATGCTTTAGTCGTGCATAATCACACTTAGTTATACTCCTCTGACTGACCTTTAAACTAATTAGGGTTCTTTCTCGTTCATTTCTTTGTTTCCATTTTATACAAAGTACACCTTTGTAAATTATGAATTACTTCTTTTGTTTAGAACGTCTTTCCCCTTCCTGAAGCGATTATCATCTTTTCAAACACCTTTAGGGTTGTGTCTATCTAAGAACACCATCAGTTGTTTTATTTTTGATCATTCACTGTCTCTGTGTGACTGATGAGTTTTATTTTCCTTAGAAGAATCTGTTGTTCAATTTAACGTACTCAGTTTTATTTTCCTTAGATAATTCTGTTGTCCGATTTCCCTTATGGAGCTTTGATTTAGCAGTATTTATCTCCTGTTGACAAATTATGCACATTATTTGAGCAGCATTGTTAGACTTTTTTTCCTTCCATATCTACTTTTGAAGCTTTTATGATCTTGAAAAGCACCCGAGATACTACAGAAATTATAGATATGTCTAGTCCCACTGATGCACTCACTCCCACCTGTTTGAATCTAAGAGGAAAATATTGTTTTAGGGGAAACCTTTGCCCTAAATTGTGAAGCCCATCGAAACCCATCCAGTCATCCACCTAATTCAAAAGCAGGCTCCAGACAGCCACAGGACAGGATTTCTCCCAGACTACTGACTTTTTCCAACTTCTTCAACTCCATCACATACATATATAAATCTCCATAAATTAAACTGGAAGCCAAATGAAACATAACCATCTGAATTCATCCCCACTTACAAAGAGTGACACAGGGCTGAATTATGAATATTGTGGCAATAATGCCTGAGAGGATGTTCTTTTTCAGCGATTAGGAGCATGACAGTGATGCAGCTCTGGTTCACACCAATGACACAACCACAGTCTTTGGAATCCAAGCTGGAAAATCAGAAACTTTCAAGAGATTTTCATTTTCCAAACAAGTGTCTGCTAATGTAATGAAATGAATGTCTTTAATTTCCAAAGGTCTAACATTTGGAGGTGAAAAACAGGATGAGGGGATTGCTTGTTTCTGAATAAATCAGACATTTTCTAAATAATTATCTGTCTTAAGTGTGCTTTAGCAGGCTGCCGAGTCTTGGGAGTGACTGATAGTTTGAACAACACACCCGATCCGATTCCCTTGTTTCCCTCGCTGTTTCTTACAGTACTCATCTTGATCTGTCATCCCCTCTGGCTCACCGAACTCATCCCAACACTATCTCTGTTGCTTCTCTCACACCAATTCTGTGGCAGAAAGAGAGATGCCTTTTCTTTGGAGGGGGTGGTGAAAAAAAGAAAACAACTTACCTCAATGTCCCAAGTCTTGATTGTTCCTTCATTATCAGCTGTGACTAAATATTTCCCACAGGGGCTGACGGCCATGACAATAGATCCCAAATCCTTGTTGTGAGCTGAGAACTGTCCCACCAGTTGACCATGATGGATGTTCCAGAAATGGACCAAACCCAAACCACCACAGGACACCAAATCTGCACCAACTAGAGAAAATCCAGAAATATTTAGCACTTGTGCAGAAAATGAACAGGATTTTCAATTCAATTCAATTCAAAGATACTTTATTAATCCCAGAGGGAAATTAGAGTTTCAGTACACACAATTCAGAGATCAGACATACATGGGCAAAGACACATGACAAGAATTGGTGACTGTGGTCATTCGCAACCCTGAATAATCAATTTTTGGGGGTTCAAAAGGGCGCTGATGGAGTTAGAGGCATTCTTGGAACTCAGTTCAAAAGTGATCTCTACTTTAAATTCAAGACGGGTGGTTATGGTGACTTAAAGCAGGTGCTGCTGGAATGAATGTCACAATGCATTTGTATTATCAACAAATTCCGATTTTAAAAGAAACATTTTTAAAACCTCATTTGTGTTTAGCCTTTTAACTTGTGTGAAGCTGCATTTATGTTTGCATTGATTTTGTTTGTTTGTTTGTTTGTTTGTTTGTTTGTTTGTTTGTTTATTTCAACTAGAGTAGTTCTGGGTCATTTCTGGGAGAGGAAAATTGACCGGGAGAAAAGATGGCTTGGCACTCTCAGCTGTTCTGTCTCCATACAAATTCAGCCCTTTCAGGATGTCAGCATGTCGCGACTCCTTTGTTAATGATGTCACTGATCAGCACCAAAAGCATCCACGGACATTTAACGTTTAGTTCTTTTGCAGTACGTTGTAATTTAAAATATATGTTGACAGGGAGAGCAGCTGTGTGATGTAAAATGTCATTTTTTTAATGATGCCCCATGAATTACAGCATGGGGGTATTTTTGTGTCATTTTTCTGTGCCGGTAGTTTAGTAACTTAGTATTTAGTATTTTAAAGCAGAATTGACACCACCTATTTTCTTTTCCTTTCGTTCTGCATCAGCAACTCTTACAAAAACTATGAGTGCCGAGTCCTTGTGGAGAACTGTTCATCTTGTCTGTCTGTCCTCTACCCCCACCCCCAACGGACATTGGCGGGACAGGTCACTCTCCTCCTGCAATGCAAGGAGATCACTATACTTCATTCAAAATAGACAGTCTTTGAGGTAAACGGCTCTCAGATGAACAGCTCCCTTCAAAGAGTTATAATTCCAATCACTTATTGTTTCCTACTGAGTTACAACCAGTCAGTGTGAGTTAAAGGGATATTTTGCAACTTTGCCATATTTTTAAATTATTTTCAAGAGCCAGTATGTGCTAAAATGACCCTTTATATGGTTAATGAAAGGCAACCCAGCCCCTATTGCCCCGTGGCCAGAATATTCTTTGTTTTTTTTGTTGTTTTTTTTCGTGTTCTGTCTGGCTGTAAAGCAAACAGAATTGATGTCTGAATGCTGGTGACAAGCCTTACAGATTTACTCTCAGGAGGAGCATCAAAGCTTCTGCTTTAATGTCACTGTCTGACACTTAAAACTTTATTGTTATTGTTTTTTGAATGCTTTATAATTTTGACCAGACATGGAGACAGAGGTGAAAGAGAAAGGAAGAGACAAAAGGAAGGGGGGATCCACAAAAATAAACAATCATTGATGAACAAGAGCCTGCTTCTGGACCTGCAGAAAGAGAAAAACAAACCAAAAGCAGGGGACACACAACAATACAACAAGAGCAAGCTATCACTGCGTCAACCTGATGAGGAAATATAAAATCAACATTGTTTTGGTGAACAATCACACGATAATAAATCACAGTGCATCAAGTGCCAACCACAGCCTTAAGACATGTTGAAAATGCCCAATTCCATACGTATGAGAGGACCTGTGTGCGTACCTGCACTTGTACATGTAAGGTTTCTCTATAGGAGCGTCCAATAAAGAGTGTGAAGGGCCACAGATCGGCCCCTCAAATGTGTGTAGGAGATGGAGGGACCTCCAAGACCCAGAGATCCAGGAGCTGTCCCAGAGTGCAGGGACCCCAGGGAGACTGTAACCAAAAAAGCCCCTGCCCCCTCTCAAGAGGCGCAGAGGATCGCCCCGGGGGGTCACAACCAGCAGCCGGCAGGGTCCCGGGAGATATCAACGGCAAGCCCACAGGCCCGCCCGCAGCCTCCCACCCCCAAACCAGCCGAGCCCGGAACCCAGCGACACGGGAATCAGTGGCTAGAATATTCCACTTGCAACTTCAGAGTACCGGTCAGATCTACTGGACTTAGAAATAAATTAGCTGATACATGGTGCTGCAGTCTGCTTCCAGCATATTTCCTTCATTTGTTAGATCATGAAAACAGCCGATATGTTTACTTTCGTGATCAATCACTCCTATAGACGCTAAGGACGGCTGGGGAGATGTTTCAGCTGTTAGATTAAGGCGTTTAAAAGACAAATGCACAGTCAGAAGATAGGTTTTGCTTTTAGTTCTACAAATGGACACTAGGGGGTGCTAAAAGCAAGCCTAATTTGCCTACAAATATAACAGAGAAATGCACTGATGGCATTTAATTTTAGTAAATCACAGAACATGCTATTAATGCTTATTATTTGTATAATAGAGCATAAAATATCAACACTATGGAAGAAGATTTAGTATATTTTAGTATTTTTGGGATAAAGCATCATTAAGTAATGGTTCATATTCTTTCAAGCTTAATAAATTAATTGTATTAGTTAAATTTTTTGATTGTTTTTTTTCTTGGTTTCCCACTGCACATGAAAAGTAAACCCTTTAGATCATGACCCTCTTGGTTTGGAGCAAATTGTGTATTTGTAGTTGTTAGTAGATATAAAATACTGATACACTTCACTTGCTACTTACAAAGTCCATAGTTGTCATGGTCCGTGGTGAGCTGCCTGCCTGTAATCCTGTTTTCTCTGAGCCTTGTCTGCTGGTGGGTGTGTCTGAGAGCTACCAGCTGCAGCTGATCCTGTCATCAAGGCCCAGGGGATTAAGGAGCAGTGTGACACTACACCATGCTGGTTGGTGCCGGGAGGTGGCAGTGAAACGTTCCCGCCGGCCGGGTGGAACTTGGTCGAACGGAAATCAATGGCGGGTAGGCGCGGCTGTTTGGTGAATGAGAAGGAGTGGGGAGACATGGGGGACTGTGAGAGTGAAGACAGCAATTTAGAGTTGAGTTTTAGGCGGGAGTCGATGAAGGGAAAGAGGAGTTACAACTCTGCTGATGATAGTACTAGGAATTAAAGAAGGGTTGTGTCGAGTGAAAGTGCTGATGAAGAAGGAGGAGGGTTCAAAATCATATTGAGGTTCGGTGAGGGAAATGGAGTGAACATGGTGAACCCAGCTAAGCTAACGTCTATCTTAAAAAATCAAGTTGGAGACATAAAACTGGCTAAAGTTTTGAGAGATGGAAATTTGCTGATTGCTTGTAAAACTGAAGATCAGAGAGAGAAGGCCTGTAAAATAAGAGAGGTGGGAAAACAAAGTAATCAGTGTGAGTAAGGTGGGGATGAGTGGAATGGGGCCTAGAGGGGTGATTTGGGGAATACTGGTGGATGTTTCAGTTGGGGAAATAAAAGCCAATTTAAAAGGAGCAAAAGTGAAAGCTGCTAAGAGATTTACAGAATTTCGAGATGGATCAAAGAAAGAAAAGGATTCTGTGCTGATTGAATTTCAGGGTGACATTCTACCACATAGAGTGTTTTTAGGCTGCATGTCATACACAGTGAGGGAGTACATTCCGAAACCGATTAGATGCTTCAACTGTCAAAGATTTGGAAATACGGCAAATGTGTGTAAAGGGATGCCCAAGATGTGGAGATGAACATGACTTTGAGGAATGCAGAAATAGAACAAAACCAAAGTGTTGTAACTGCAGGGGGGAACATTGTGCGGCTTATGCGGGTTGCCTGGTGATGAGGAGGGAAACTCGGGTACAACGTACAAGAGTTCAAAGTAAAGTTTCTTATGCAGAAGCAATTAAACTGGTGGGAGAGGCTCCAGTGAGAATAAATGACACGATGCCACAAGATTCAGCTCACGGGTCTGGACAGGTGGGGAAAGTGTGGATAGATGTTAAGAAATTAATGACTCTCATTGCAGGAGTATTCAATGCAACAATGGAAACAAAATCAAAAACGGAAAGGATACAAATCATTGTGAAAGCAGCTGTTCATCATCTGGACGTTACTGAGTTGTCTTGGGAGGAGGTCAGGAACAACCTTAGTGCGAGTTCCAGTCAAGAGGGATTGGGGTTGTGAATGGTTGGGATTTTACAATGGAATGCTAGGAGTTTGATTGCTAATGGACAAGAATTTAAAGATATATTGATGAATTGTTGGAGAAACCGGATATTATTTGTGTTCAAGAAACTTGGTTGAATAAAAACTTAGAATTTAAATTATATCCATACACAATCATTAGATGAGATAGGGAAGATGGAATTGGAGGAGGTTGTGCTACTTTTATTCATGTTAATCTGAATTATAGACTAATTAAAATAGGAACTGATGAAGAATATATAGGGATAGAATTGCATGTCAATGATAAGAATTTGTTTATAGTCAATTATTATAATCCATGCAAAAAATTGGATATTAATAAGCTTAAATTAATTCTGGAAGGGAATTATGATCAGGTGGTAATGTGTGGGAATTTTAATTCTCATAGTTCTTTGTGGGGACGAATTAAGGAGGATCAGAATAGGGAAGTCATTGAAGAGTTCATGGATGATATGAATTTAGTCTGTATAAATGATGGTAGTGGGACAAGGATGAACGTGACTACGGATAAAACCTCGGCTATAGATCTAACAATAGTGTTGAATGCATTAGCGGGAAACTCTAATTGGGAAGTTCGGGAACGTATTCTGGGGAGTAATCATTATATAATTTTACAAAACTATAGGAGTAAGGCAGTTTATCTGGACAAAAGTGTTGGCTGTTGGGTATTTAAAATAGCTGATTGGGATACATTTAGACTTATGTGTGAAGAAGAGAATGGAAGGATTGATATGGAAGAGGATATAGACATGGTGGAACAGATTTTTAGGAGAGTGATAACTGAAGCGGCGGACGTTACTATTCCTAAAAGTAAAGGGACCATGAA